AGTAGCAGTAGCAGCAGTGGTGGTGCTGGAGCAGCAGCAGTGGTCGTGTCGCGTTCATCGTCGCATTTCTCCTACTCCTGCTCCTCCTCGTGGTGGTGGCTTCAGCAGCAGCTGCAGCAGCACTTGTAGTCAGAATTCGGAAAACAACAATGATAATGGTAATCATGGCTATAGTTGCAGTCGTAGTTGTGGCAGGAGAAGCGGTACTGTAGCAGGAGCAGTCTCAGTGTAGGGTGGCTGTAGGCATCTAGAAATGTCTTGTTTTTGTCCTGGCATGAAATGATCCTTTCGAGGCCATGAACCAATTGTAGACATCTGAAAATGTTGCAAAAAAACAGATCCTGGATTTTGAATGTATTTGCAGCGGCGTCCGAACCCTCCCCCTTCTGTGTGTTTGGGAACAACAGGTGATACTCGAAAACAGATAGACAATAAGAAGCTTCCTGTGTTCATCTCTGTTCGCTGCATGCCCATACTTCCTCAACTTTGAATGGAGGCTGGAAGAGACATGAAGGCTTGTCAGAGCTGAGAATCCTGGACAATCCCAGGAGCCTATGCCAATCATACGGAGTACGCCTTGCCGGCAAAGGGTTGCATGGGGACTGCCTTGAAAATCTCCACATCAAAGACATGCCAGTTTGGCGACACGTAGTGTGGTGATGCCTCATGCCTGCATTCGCGTGGACTCGCGCGGACTTCTGCGGAACCGACGTCTAGCATCTGAGAAAACTGCATATGCTTTGAAGCTTGGCATCGGACCCCTTAATTTGATAGGACATGTGTTGCAAGGACGAGCAAAGGGGCAACCTCAACTCTTGGGCATGCAAGAAACTCAGCAGGAGAGAGTACATACGCCAAGCGATCGGCGGAGGATTGGAATTGTGCAGAACAAAATGGCCACTACCGAAAGCAAGAGTTCTAGTGACCTCCATGGAACCATACCGTGAACGCTAATGGGCCTAAGTTACTTGCCAATCTACATCCAATGTTTAGACAGGTTTGCGGTTTGCACATCCCGAAAAATCCAAACCTCTCCTCTCAACCCCACAGCTTAAAGAAAAAAAAAAAACGAACCCCTTAACCTCCATCAGCCAAGCTGGTACACATTAACACGTGCAGGCTCCACAGTCGCCGTCGCGACGGTCGCCTCAGACCAGCTTGCAAATCAGGTATCCCAGATTTCCTGCTTAACTTGCTGATTGCTAGCAAGACTGCAAAATGAAATGGAAACTATGGGGTTATGGAAATGTAGGCTTGCTTGTGAATGAATGAAGGAATCGAAAAGAACAGAAACTGCCGTTTAGAGTTTGGGAGTCGGCGTTGTTGGCAGCGAATGAACAATCAAATGGAAAAGCAATTGGAAC